ACTAAGAGTTGACTTGGAAGTTGAGAGTTGAATTTAGCTTTTGATAAGGAGAAATTTAGGTGAAGCTTTGACTATGGAATTAAGAAGGAGAGAAGTATAATTTATTGGATAATACTTTAGACTTATATAGCTTTTTCTGTGGCAGGGTTTATTTGGATCAAAACTAGGAGTTAGTCATGTGCAGGATGGGTTTGAGTTGCTGGATACTTGGACAAGTCATGTGATATTGGTTTTTTGCCTTTCTTGGTATATAGAGCAATATATTGGATTGGCATTAAACCAGACAATGACTGGATATTAAGTGTGTTGGCGGTGGCCATAATACCTGTACATCCAGCTCCTTGACACTTTATTGAGGGTATTAAACTCAATAATAGCACAAGCTATTACTGAGGAGGGATTATTTATTTATAGTGCGCCCTACTGTGCAAAGATTTACAGATGGGAGTGGGAAGCATGAGATGGAGAATCCCAAAAGCTTGGAAGATAGGAATGACAGTTGGTTTTTGGAAAGATGGCCAAACTCTTGTTCCTTTGTTATCTGTTGTGGGTTTGGCCATTCTTGACTGGGACCAATGATTCTTCCTGAGCATGGGATCATGTGGTGGTGGCAACTCATGATTTCTTCAAGATCTATTTTTTTCTTGGGAAACATGACTTGGTTGGAGTCTGGATTCAATCTTGTGGCCTGGGAGTCAGGACCCCATTGGTTATGGGGGGAATTGTTGCTCACATGTAAAACTTGGGTTTGGCCCTCTTCTGGTGGGCAGGAATTATTCTTAAAACCAGGGCCTTTTCTCAGGGACTTATTTGATTGGTTGCATTGAGTAGGTATTTGTGATTGGCTGGGGACTGGGGCCCAGGTGGGTGGCTGGCAGTTGGCTGGGAGGCAAGCAGGTAGGTGGGCGGGTGGCAGCTGGCCCGCTGGGACCCAGGGAGCAGGCAGGTGGGCAGCCAGCTGGCGGCAGGATGGACAGCAGGAGGATGGCGGATGGGAGGCTGGCAGGAGGCCCACTGGCAACTGGCTGGGTGCTGGGGGGTTGGCAGAGGGTGCTGGTGGGCGTGGCAGGCGCCTGTGCAACTGCGGTGGGCGCCTGCCCAGATGATAAATTAATCTAGTGCTTATTGAACTCTGTTATAAATTTATTTTTCTTTTTGTTTTTCCCACTTAATAGGGGAAAATCCACATCAAATTGTGAATTTTTGATAGTGAAATTCCCTATTTTTCTCCAGCATGGTACCTCAGTTGAAATCTGGTTTATGTCAGGAATATTCCTGACAACAGGTTGGGAGTTGCCATAGATGAAGGCTTTACTATTGAAAGACCCAGTGTTGCCTTGCATAATTTAGTTAAGGCCAGGGAACAGATTGCTGACTTGGTTTTTCTTAGAAGAATACATAATTTTTTTTATAAAAAATAAACTCAATAAGAGGAGTGTATATTTTTGTCAGTTTTATTGCTAAGTATGTCAAATTTGGTGAATATTTTGATCTAAATTTCAGTTGTATTAAAATGGAACTGGGTAATTTTTTGAGAATGTGTGTAATTCCCAAAAGAACTAGCACAGATCCCCAATACATCCTTTGACTTCCTGTTTGAGATGCCCAAGACTTAAATTGATTTCAAATTCACCCTGTTTTTTATTTGAAATTTGGTTCTTGGATTTGACAATCCTGCAATTTCAGATCTGTTAAGTTTTATATGATGTCTATGATTTGTTTGAAATACAGGAAATCTCAAATTGTACATTAGAATCCTGCATTTCTGATTCATGTATCCTGCATTTGTTTGTTGTGTTTTGTCTTTTGTTATTTGAGTTATCTGCTCAAAAGATTCCAAATTTGCCAATTTAAATAAACCAAAAAAAGTCAAATTAAATGATTGATTTTATTAAATATTTTAATTTTCACTCAGCTGAGCTGCCCGCAAAAGTGATTCAAAATTTGGATCAAGGATTTGACAATCCCGCATTTTTACGTTCAGGTTCTGAATTTACAGTATAAATTTAAATTCAAACATAAAAAAGACATGCAAAATTTTGGTTTAATCAACTAAACTTTTAAGAGATAAAATTTACCTAAACTAAATGATAAAAATAATGCTAGTCATTGCATCAATAATAATAAGATATATATTTAACTTTACAAGTGTATAAGTATATGTGATTAAAAATAACAGCTTAAATGTGATAGATTTAAGATATATAAAGTTCATCTTTTAAGAACTGTTAAAAGTTATAATAAACTTAAGTTTATTTGGAGCAAAAGGTTTTTGATTTGGTTACTAGAAGTAAGCTAAATAATAATTTATACTTTAAATTTAGTTTACTGATTAAAATATCATACTTTAAGAGTTAATTAGCATATTTTATTTCAAATAATAATTTTATAAGCTTACATTCAAAGCCACTTTAAGATACTAAATCAGTATTAAAACATAAATTTGCAGCACAATTCCAAAAGCTGAGATTAAGGGCTTTCTAATGATACTAGTTTGCGCAAGATTGAAGTACTATTTGCTGAAATATCACCAGTTAACCAGAATATAAAAAGGGGTAAATAAACAATGATATCAGACTTCAGGGGTGATATTGATAAATTAAGGAGATTAGTGGGGGTCAGTTAGGGATTTATGCCTGTAGTGCAAAAGCTTAGCTAACATGGTAATTAAACAGCTCAACTTTACAGAAATTTACTTTACAATCCGCACCTTTACTCCTCTCTGATAACTGCACATCTATTTCCAAGCAAGAACTCCTGAACCAAGCCAAGGAACCCAACCACTATCATTATGGAACCTATCAATTTTGCACCTCAGATGACACCCTTCATCTCACTGGGGGCTTCTACTAAGAGAAAGAATCTCTATGCTTAAAAAAGCATTCCTTTTTACTGCTGGCAATGATCTTAACAGCTTTGTTGAGTATTTCTTATTAAAAACAGAGTTTGGAAAAAGTACCTTATTACCTGTCATACAAAATTCTAAGACAGATGATTTCTTTAACAACCTAAAGAAATTGATGTCAGAGTCCCCTGCCAAGCACCTTCCTTCCTTCCCTAAGAGCATCAGTTACATCAAGCTACAGTCTGAAAGAACTTTGAGATTGTGGATTTAAAATGATAAAAAATGAGTATTCATATTCTAAAAAAATGCTAAAAAAGCATCATTAAATTCAAAAAATAAGAAAGGAAAAAATGATTCAGTAAAGAAATAAAACATAAAAAATATTTTAAAACATATATTAAAAAATCCATTTCCAACCAGCCAATTCACTAAAAAAATCCCCTGGATTGATTTATGAAGAATTACAAAAAGATTTGAGTGAATACTCAACTAAAATAAAATACTCATCATTGAAAACAAAAAAGAAATTTATGAAGATATGAAAATAAAAAACAATATTTCTATTTCACTTTCCACTTTCTATAAGCTTATTCCTAGTAATATAATTAAAAGCAAAAAGCAAACTGATATGTGTAACATTTGCAACTTAAAAAAATCATTAGAAATAAAGAAAAAGGATTTGAGTATAAAGAAGTTGCCATTGCCAAAATTTATCAAAGAAAATTTGGAATCTATTGACCTACATGAAAAGTTTTATAAGCATCAAAATAAAAAATATATTAGTGATATAAATAATCTTGATAATAATTCATGTGTTATAGTAATAGACTATAAAGAAAACTTTAAAATAGATGGGGGTCCTATAGAGACAAATAATTGTTTTTATAAGAAAATACCTATTTCTTTATTAGGATTTGTAATTGCTTTTAAAGAAAATGAGAAAATTAAATATGAGTATCATGACTTTTTATCTGAAATTTTATCTCATGACTCTTTGTTTTCAGGTCAGTGTTTGATAAGTCTGCTTAAAAATAATAAGTTTAAGAATATTAAAAATATTAAAGTTTGGACTGATAATGGTAATCATTTCAGACCTTATGAATTCTTATATTATCTTTTAAAAGAGGTACCTAAAATTATAAAAGGAACAATTAAGTTTAATAGATTTGTTGAGTGTCATGGCAAAAGTATTGTTGATGATCATTTTGGTGTATTATCTAAAATATTTAAACAAAAGGAAAATGAGATGTATATAAAAATATAAATGATCTCAAAATGGTTTTTGAGAGAGAGGAAGAAAGAAGGGGTTTATATGAGACACTTGTAAATAATTCAGATGTTTCCCAAAAAATCTTTTTTCACATCTAAGATAAAAAATCTAGGCCTAAAAAAAGCTGGCTTGAAGTCAAAGCATTTTATGTTAATCTTTCATATTTAATGAAAGATGGTGAGCTGTATGTTTCACCTTTGACATTTGAGGATGTCAAGGAGTACTCCAAAATAAATTATTGTGCAAAGTTCTGCACAGATGACAGAGAAACAAAAAGAGCTGATACTACTAAAGGATTAGTAGGACATGTTCATGAAGTTGGACGCATAACAAAAACTTATATTTCACATAGGGTAAATAGTCTTTTAAATACAATAATTTTTTTTCTAAAAATAACTAAGAAATTAATTATATGAGCCAAAAATAGGGTAATAGCAATTATAGCTTTGGGGCTGCTATTACTCTCCCATGCAACTCATATATTTGATTCTTGGCTTATTAAAATAGAAAAAAAGGGTTTTAGCAAAAAATACAGTTAATAGAAATAAGATTTATTTTTATTATTTGCATATTTTACACTCTTAAACTTTTCTTCAGTAAACTAAGCATTATATTAATGTTCAAAAAACATAATTTTACAACTTAAATGATACCAAAGAAGTTAGAAGGCTTTGAAATGCTTAAGTTGGCGCCTTGGCTTAATCTAACAAATAATGACCCATACATTGCTTTATATCGTGATTTAAACCTTAGGAAATATCTGAAGCCTAGTGATGGTTAAACTCCATTGAAAAGTATAACAGATGTGTTGACTGTGTTTACAGCCTGGATAATACTTAGGTGCTTTAGTAAAATCAGGCATAATGTGATTAAAAACTAAAACATTGTCATAGCGCGGAATCGAACCGCGGTCGTGGCGGCCACAACGCTGCGTACTATCACTATACTTTTTTTTGGAAAATTCTACTACCACTATAGTACTATGACTTTTTTTAGTCAGGGGTGAAACATCCTGACTTTATTTTCAAGGTTTTGTTCTGCGGAAATTTGAATGCTATAAATAGAAAAGAAAGGTTCTTTGAAACACGCAATAAGGGTTTGGTCATTCTTCATGCAGTATACTCAGCACGCACCACCTTCAACCCAGCTAAACCGAGAAATAGAGGACTCCGTCGAAGATGAAGAGGTCTCCTGTATCGATCTTCTAAACCCGCTTGATGCCAGATTTGAATATGAAATGCCCACTTTACAGCTGGCTGGTTTAGATAAGCCCGTGGATTCTCTTAAAGGTTTGCTTTATTTTTTTCCGTGCCCTTAACCCAAAGATCTTGTGCCCCTTTTTATGTATGAGCTCGAGAAGCATTATAGATTTCAGATCATCCGTATTCTAAGAGCTACTGATACTGCTGAACACTACTCACTTGTTATAAGGTATTCTTTTTCTCTAGCTTTATTTAATCATTTCATATGTGTTTGTATAAGATTTAATTTTTGCCTCTTCTTTGTGTCGCTTATCTTCAGTGTTTAAAGTTTTTTACTTCTCTTCATGCTTCCATACTTTGTTCCATAGTCGCTTTTTTGCTATTTTACAATGGTTTCCTTTTTAAATGTAAAACCTTGACACAATATGCTTATAATTTTACCAAGGTTGAGAGAGAAATTTCAATCAAGTCAACCATAAGAAATATTTTTACTTTATTAAATATATTGTTTTACATATAAGCTGATTCTTACTCCTAAATTAATATCAGCCATTTTTAGCTCATCTTGAAATAATTTTATCTACTTTATTACGTGAAAATGTAAGTTCATGTATAGGCTCAATAAATCAAATTCAGCATACAGTCACATAATGTCAATTATATAATATTTTAATAATATAATTGTAAGAGTAATATTTTATCGAAACATGTTATTTATCCGATATTGAAGTTCATAACAAGAAAGATCTAAAAAATCATGGACAGTGGAATCGACCTGTTGAATTCCAACCCAGGTCTGTTTAATGCAGTCATCAATTACCCTGCTGTGTGTCTACCCCTCTTAGACACGGCATTTGTCGAAATCATGACAGACTTAGAAAAGTTATCGCAAGATGATGATATTTTGATTGCCAAAGCGAATGCCCACGTGCGTATATCCAAGTAATTCCAAATTCAAGTTGCATGTTCATCCTCAGTCTTCCCCAGGTCCCTGCATATTTTCGAACTTCAATCCCAACTTCAGATGACGTTGGAAAGCTAGTCTCAGTAACAGCCACGGTTACAAGGTAGGCGTGTATGTGAAAAATAAATAATGTAGGAAGATCAGGGCCTGTGAATATGGTAGTCGAAATGCGCATGTACGAATGCCCAAAGTGTCATGGTACTTTTCCTGTAAGAGCAGATGTCGACCGCAACTGCCAAATTGTGCCGCCTGTAGTGTGCATGGCCAACGAAATCCCCGGCTGCAAGGCAACCAAATTCAAACTGATCCCCGATGATCAAGCACGTAAGTTATCCTGTCAACTCTAACCCCATTAGATCAAGCTACCATGCCACTGCGATCTTATCAAGAGATCAAGATACAGGAACAAGTCAACAAGCTGTCTCTGGGGACTATATCCTTTTCCTTCTACTAAAAATATACACTTTCCATCCTTGACTCGACATACATTCCACGCTCTATTATCGTGGCAATGCAAGACGACTTGATTGATTCCGCAAAGTCAGGAGATGATGTTCTTATTACGTAAGCAAGCATTTTCCCTTCTCACCCTTGCCAGAGGTGTAGTTAGACGTCGCTGGAAAAATGTCGGTGTAGGGGACCGTTGCCAGATCGAATTGTACCTCCTCGCCTGCCACATCCATGTGCGCAACGACGCCCGCTCGGAAGCTTTAATGTCACCAGAGCAAAGCAAAGAGTTTGAGGAATTCTGGAAGCTTTATCAAAGCCGCCCACTTGAGGGTATCTTCTACTTTTAACCAAACTAACATATGTTTAGGAAGGTAACCGAATTACATTCCATAATTACCAACGGCCTTCGACAACAGGAACCTGATCCTGGCCAGTTTCAGCCCCAAGATATATGGACTATACTTGGTCAAATTAGCAGTCATGCTAGCATTGGTGGGCGGAGTGCAGAAAGTAAGCGGATCTAATCACCGGGTTCGTGGAGAGCCTCACTTGCTTCTTGTTGGGGATCCCGGAACAGGAAAGTCTCAGTTTCTCAAATTTGCCGCCAAATTGATTCCACGCTCAGTGCTGACCACCGGTATTGGCTCGAGCAGGTAAATCGTCGCACAACATGTATCTGACTTACTTCAGTGCTGGGTTGACAGTCACAGCCGTCATGGTAACATTGTCTATTGATTATGTATAACAAAGCAAGGACAAAGGGGAATGGCAGCTTGAAGCAGGTGCGTTAATACTGGCGGATCGTGGTCTCTGTTGTATAGATGAATTCGATAGCATCCGTGAACATGACAAGGTTGCCATCCATGAAGGTACGTCATCTGTCTAATGTCTCATTCCAGTCAGCCATGGAGCAGCAGTCTATTTCTATTGCCAAAGCAGGTAAAAGGTTCAACCATCTTTTTGACTCTCCAAGGTATGGTATGTAAGCTTAATTCGCGCTGCTCCGTTATTGCCGCTACCAATCCTAAGGGCAAGTATGACCCCAACGAAAGCTTGTCAGTCAACCTTGCTTTGGCAAGCCCACTGCTAAGTAGATTTGATTTGATTCTGGTTCTTCTCGATTCACAAAACGAAGAATGGGATGGGTAAATCTCACCGCAACGCTCTCATCTTTAGTTTGGTCTCTTCCTTTATCCTTCAGTCTGAATGCGATCAATTGGTTCCCAAAGATGAAAACCCGTTGGCCGCTTTTCTTTGGTCCATCGATAAGCTCAAAGGGTACATTGCTTACACCAAGCAGCGTTTCATGCCTCGCATGACCCAAGATTGCCAGGATGTGCTCACAGCCTACTACCGCCTTCAAAGGTCTACTGACCAGCGCAGTGCCGCTCGCACAACTCTTCGTCTCCTCGAGAGCCTTATTCGTCTATCTCAGGCTCATGCAAGGCTAATGGCAAGGGATCAGGCAACAGTGATGGATGCCGTACAAGTGATTCTTATAATGGAATACTCCATGGCAAATTCTGGATCTAATCTGGTCTCTGGAAGTTGTTTTCCGTCCACTGGTTCTCTTCAATCTTCTTCCCCAGACAATCCCGACATGATTTATCGAAAACAAGGTGATTGCATTTCTTCTTTCTACTAACACCCAACAGAGAAAGCAATCCTGGAGAAGCTGGGCTTGGATAACATGTCATCCCAACCCTGTCCACTCCCACATCCAGGAAGGGAGTTATTTGAAGAGGAAGATGATGGAACTTCTCTTGATACTATTCCTACCCAAGAAGGTTCCACCAAATCAATGCATCCTCTCCTTCGTATTCCCAAGCCACCTCCACTCAAAAAATAGTTACCTTGAGGCATGCGTAAAGTATTAGCCTCTGAAAAAGAAAATGCCTTAACCATGTCTTCCAGCTTAATTGACAATCCGGTTGTCTTATATGTATACTGGATGTATTCCTGGCAAAGAAAAAACTATAGAGAATATATACTTAGATAACAGCAATTTCAATTTTTACAGTGGCTCTCAAAGCAATAGAGGTAAAATAAACTCAGTCCAAAAATGAAAAGTATATGGTATCAAGGCTATCATTGATCAATATAAATTCATTCCTTTTCAAAAATACTTTTGGACTAAGTTTTTTGTTTTAGGCTGATTTTTTCATCTATCTCTCTACAGCTTTGAAAGCTACTGTACCAAACAGTTTATCACCTACATTTTCCTCTTTTAAAATTGAGATAAATTTAAGGAGGTACTGTTTTGATTATTATCATGTACAGTAGTTTTCAAAGCTATGGCGCTAAGCAAAAACACTTCAGATTTAAACAAAATGGACTCAGATTTAAGCAAACTCTAGGTCAGGAAAGTTTCACATGGCAAATAACTTAAGTAATTTTGGTGAACTGGCAAAATGTAAACTAGAAACATAATTTCACCAATACATTATACAGAATTATATCAAACATCAAGCGGCATAGTCCAAACTACAAACAAAATGACTTGGTACAACAAGCAAAATAGTCTGGGGTTGTTCTGAAATATATTATAATTCTATTAGTATCAGACAAGGATCCAACAGAAGGGCTAAAATGATACAAAAATAGAGCAACCTAGAAGCAAGATATCTCAAACACGAAACAAAATGAAATCACACAAGCTGTGTAGTATGTGCATCCTAAAATAGAAAAAGAGATTTTAGCAGCCAATCAACAGCTATCCAATTTGGATAGCTCATCCTGATCCTGGTTTTGGGCATTCCCCTGGCATATCTCTGCCCCTGTTCTTCCCTTCTCTAGTCTTGTGCTTCTATCCTTATTTGACAGTCATCATGAAATAATAGATTGTATGAGATTTAGTCTCATGTCAGCCATCAGTCTGGATAGTCCACACTAGTCCTGGTTTTGGGCTGTCAAGATTCTGTGTTCTTGAAGAAGAGATGTAGTTTTTATTAGTTGAATTATGCATTTTGGGATGAGGAGATCTGTATGAGGATAGATGTGTTTTCAATTGGTGTAGATGATTGCTGCAACAGGCTGGGTCCCATTGCTTCTTGAGCCAAGTGATGGGAGAGTCCTGTGGTCTTTGGGATGCAACACTGTCTTTGGTGGTTTTTCAGGATTCCAAAGTAACAATAATACACTCTTATTGTACTTGACACTACTACTATTTGGCTTAGTAGTAATGTTGATGTTTTCTTATTTTTGTCTGCCTTCCAAGTGATCTTGGAAGGACTTTTTACAGTGTGAAGCTAGCAGCCAGACTGGCGTCTAGCTGCAGACAACTCTTACTAGCTAGCCTATCATCCCCAAGCTACTAGTTTCACCCCCAGAGTTGGATTCTAAACCTGAATAAGGTTTTAGAATGAGGTAAT